CAGCATCTTAGCCTAACAGACTCCCAATTTTATATGGATTTAAACAGCAGAGGCGACAACAGTCAGACGGAAACTGTCAAGTATCTGAGAACAATGTTCCTGAGAGAAAGTTTCCGGTCATTAGGATGGAAATGACGTTCCTGAGAGAGAAAGTTTCCGGTCTTTTGGTTGATTAAGGTAGACAATACACAGAAAAGAGTTTCATGAAAGAAACAAGAAAATGCTGGTTTGGGGTCAGTCACTGCCCACAAACTAATGTTTTACACCTTCAGAGCAACAACCTGAGCATCATTTCACTATATTGTGGCTGAAGTGAAGCCAGACACCTCTAAAGTCAATTTCTCCTAAAGTGGGCAGCTCACACTTGGAAAAGTCCAAAAGGATAAACAGCACTGCAGGCCAGACAGGAAAATCTACACACTTGTGTTTTAGGTGTCTAGTTTGATGAATAGTGACCCTATTGGCCCTATTGTGTCCTGAGTGTACTCACTGCTGGCTCCCAGAGCTATGATCAGAATCAGGAGGAGTGTAGCCGTCAGAGCAGGAAAGAGCCATCGTCTGTACCTGGAGAACCTGGAGAAATCGACAGTACGAGGCTCTGCGGACAAATAGGACATGAGTTTTTCAGTTTACAGAACGCACAGACAGGTGGACACACAGACAGGTGGACACACAGACAGGTGGACGCACAGAAAGACACCTTTGTTCCAGAAATTGCTCATTTCTTCGTCCACATTGTCATGGTATTCAGTCATGGCGATTCTGGTCTCTGGGTCTGTCTCTGTGTGAAATGGCGTGCGTCTGACTTCGTCTTCATCCAGTCCCCAATGAACAAACAGGCGAACTGTCCAAACACAGAGCCTCAGGTCATTGGCCACGAGCTGCACTTTGCACTGGAAAACACCACCTGTGTTGTGTGTGTGTGTGTGTGTGTGTGTGTGTGTGTGTGTGTGTGTGTGTGTGTGTGTGTGTGTGTGTGTGTGTGTGTTAGCCATTTTGATGAGATCTACATCAACACTACAAAGAACTAAACTTTCATGGAAAAAAGGACAAACATCTGAAAATACCTGATCTAGCTTCAAAAGACAGACGTGTAAAAGGAAAAGTGACGGATGAACAGATAATCACTTCAAATATGTTTCTGGTGTGCGCGAGTGGCAATAAAGATAAAGAAGCAGTGACAGACACAGATTTGTTCTCAATTTTTATGTGTATGTCATGACTGTCTCGACTGAACAACAAGTCAGTCAAAATTAGAGATCTTGCACTTTCCTCCCTGACACGTTTCAATCAACTTGCACTCTGTTACTCCATCATACTAGGAAAAATATAAACAAATGAGGTGTGATTTACAAAATATCATGATCGCAAGATTCAATGAATGTGATTTGTGTTTTAGAGAAACAATATAAAAGATCAATAGGAGGATTCATTGGATGCCTGTATGGAACAAAGTACACCTGACATCTCTTCATGTTCACAGTGAAAGTGAATGCACAGCTACATGTCTGCTAAAGAACATTTGGGATGTTTCATTATGTACATTATGTGGCTTTTGTCAACATGAGCAAGAGTCTGATCTTCATTTATTTAGATTTTCAGTGTATTAGGATTATTTTGAAGCTAAAAGCAAATAAACTGAATTCTGGCTACAACTCCAATGTTTCCCCTCTGACAATAATGTGGAACTTTATCATAGTCTGGAAATTTGAGGAAATGTTCTAAGACTGGACCTCTTAAATTTTAAAATTGAATTTTGACACTTGACAGAGTAGAAGGTGGTCTGAAGTAGTGTTTGTATAGGATACGTGGACTGTTTCTAAATAGGCTATGTTGCATTTATTAATTCTGGAATATTTTGAAAGAACTCTACATGAAAAGAGGAAGTCCACAGAGTGGAATTTCCTGATTGTATTAGAAGTTCTTATTGTTTTTCTATCCAGTGCTTTAATTGGAGAGGTTCCTTATAATCTGAAGTGGGCGGAGTCAGGCCTGCAGGTGTGTTCAGACTCTCAGGTTGTCTTTCTGACAGATGAAGCGTTCTTTGATGGAGCAGTGCTGGTCGTTCAGGCGTCCATCATTGTGAAGGTGAGCACAGTCTTCATTCCCAGGTCCTAGACCATGATGGGCCCAGTTGTCGGGCTGCCCAGGTTTCCACCGCCTTGAAAAACATGCACAAAGATGTTTATGTGTAATTCCTGTGGAGCACTGACTGATAATAATTCCTCTTTATGCTGAAAGCTCCCTGCTCCCATGACACTCACAATCTCTGATCTACTGGTTACCGTTTCTGGACAAACGTTTTAGACTTTGATTTAGGATATTGTTAAGGTTCAAAATATTGGGGATGGACACATCTACTGTTTGACTCCATAAACTCTATTGTTTCCCCCGTGGTCCACCAAGTACCTGTGACCTCTATATCTGAGAGTGATGACTTTTTGACACAGGGTAAGCCGTTAATGTAAATAGAAAATGTTGTTGATGCCGTCCTGATATTATTGATTCATGACATTTCATGTTTGCAGAAATTTATTTTATTTCTAAAACTGTTTATAAATGAACAAGAATAACTATTAGAAATATGCCCAATTTCTAAAAAGCAAACAAAACAACAACAACAACAACATGAGCACTGGTCAGAAGAAAGCAAAAAAGGTATACTGGGGACAAACCGAGCCAATTCCGCGATGCCTGGTCCTCAAGGAAAATGTATCAATATCTTTTTTGTGACATTTGTTTGGTGGTGCGCTGTGAGTTTTATAATGTGAAATCTGTGCCATGGCTCCAAAAGGTTAGAGAACACTGCCTTATGGAGCACTAAAAGTTCTCTTAGAACTTAGAACAAAAAACACAACGCCTCATTTTCTCGCATGTATACTGTGACAAAGTGGGTGAGAAGACCATTTGTCTACATTCTTAGTTAACATTCTTGTTTTGATTTAACCATATTTCACATGTAATCTGCAATAGGCAAACATCTACTATCCCGGGTTTGTTTATGTTCTGCACTTTTACAGATTATATAATATAACATCTTGGTTTAAATCAATTCATACAAGTTTGTTAAGTTAACATGTTCTTTATTTCAACTGTTAAATGGTATTTTTTTTAGGACTTACCTTACCTACCTGTCTTCCAGAAGCAAAAGGAGGAAATGTAGTTCTACTTCCTGCTTTATACCTTCTGGGTTCATCTGAGGTCACAGGAAGAGATCAAGTGCAGGAGGGGAAGAATTCTTATAATTTAATAAAGTTGATTTTAGAGGGTTTATAAAGAAATAGATTTACTGTTATGATATGTATTGATTACACCATAGAGTTTATGTTGCCAGTCAAGAGGAGTAGTAGAGGATTGAATATGATCATGTTCATCTTACCTACCTACTGAATGGAATAGTCCAGAGGAGAAAGTGTTTGATTAAGGGGACTATTTAAGCAGACTAACTCAGGTGTTTGGGGAGAAAGGTTCAGGTCAGTGTAGCTGTGTGCAGTTTGACCTTAATTTCTGTTGATTTAAGTTCAGTTATGTTTATTTGAATTGAGTTAATTATAGAGTTGAGTTTCTTATTTGTTTCTTTGTAAATATTGTTGGGCCACAGAATGGTGAATAAATCACTTGCTACACTGGACAGCATCAGTCTCCTGCACTTCTTTGACCGCTTAAGTCGAGTCCTACCACATATACCATTAGCGTTTTTTTGGGTTTTTTTTTTAAAGTGTAACAGCTTACCTCCGGTTCATGATGTAGGGTGTCTGGTTGACCCACTCCCACCGCCCAGTCCTTTCATCAGTCAGACCCACCCAGCGCAAGGAGCCCGCGCTACGCTGGATCACAAAATCCTGTTAAAGGCAGAAGGAGAGAAAACTCAAATTTTCAGTTTCAATAAAAAAGGGGGACTATAGCTCACATACATGAGCTATAGTTCGGCTTTTATTGATTAGCTCATCAGAAAAGAGCTCCTGTTGAGGTGACAGTGTGTTTAAGCTGCATCACAAAGTTGAGTGTCAGTGCAAACAGATGGGAGGGACAGCCAACTCACCCACTCCTCGTCAGTGAGAAGAATGACCAAGTGAGATTCGTGTCCATTACACCAGTCTCTGGCATCGTGCCACGATAATGGCGTGGTGCTGAATAAGTAGCAGTTGGTGCCGAAAGAATCCCAATTCAGAGGACAACAGCCGTGTGCTGTCGTGCCTGACAGACGGACAGACAGAGAGTGTCTGGTTTCCATGTTTTATAAGAGTCATTTCAAAAATACACTTTTAGATATTGGAGACCTTCTTTAACAGGGGACAGTCCTGGGAGATGTTAGACAGTCGCTGTGAGAACTAGTTTTAGAAAAACATATTTTTAGTGAAGAAATATGATGAGATTAACATCATCCTTTTCAAAAGAGATCAGTGGACGAAAGCACACAATCACATGGTTAAGAAAATTCTAAAAAAAAAAAGGCCAAACAAATAATAACAAATAAATATAATAAACAAATGGAACAATTGGAGAGCTTAGTACAAATCTTAAATTAGGAAATAACACGATTTAGTTACTAATTTCCTCATAAGACCTCGCTCCCCCCAGAGAGACAAAACCTTTCTGCCTTAGCTTGTTACAGTTTATACAAAGAAACATGAATTTTTCTTTTCTTTTTTAGCTTCAAGAACCTGTTTAAACCTTCCAGTAATGCCTGCAGGTGCTTGAAGTTAGTCTGAGCTCATCAGATGCCTCAGACTCAGAGATAAATGACTTGGGGGCCAATGAACCAAGGCAACTTTGCAAAACCTAGAAAGCAAAATGTACGTCTTGGGGGCCATGACACGCACATTATACACAGGTTTCTTCTTAGTAAAGGTGTTGCTAAAGCTTAAACTTGAGCACCTTATTAAATGAAGCAGAGGGAACAGGATTAGACAGGAGCTGTGTACCGTTGTTGACCAAGCGTTCTAAAGAACATTTGAGTTCGGCGACCGTCCTGCGGAGAGCGTCCAGGACTGAGAGCTGCCTCAGTGCCTCTGATACTGATGGATTGCACACACAAAGCACAGGTAAGTTAATGAAACTACTTGCTAGTGTCGATGTGTATGCAGTGTTGCTCTGCAGAGTTCCCACCTGATGCCAGCTGGTCCTTGTTGTTCTCCAGAGCAAACTTCATTGACAAAACTTCTTTTGCTGTATCTATTGCAGAAAAACAGGAAATTACAGAGTGTTAAGTAGAAAGGACAGCAATTGAGTAACGCAGTATGAGTACATCTGAGCTACCTTTGGTGAGCTGCTGTGTGTCCCTCAGTGATTCAGTCAGATTAGAAACACTTTTCTCTGCAGACCACAACCGGTTCCATGTCGACGTGTCTGCAAACACACAGACATAAAAAAATTTTTATAAATAAATGACTATTTTCCTCAAATCATTACCAACAAGAAGTACTTCATATTCTTTCTCCTGGATACTGGCATTTATATATGTATCTCTCTCTCTCTCTCTCTATATATATATATATATATATATATATATATAGAGAGAGAGAGAGAGAGAGAGAGAGGAAACAGTAGGAGCTGTGTGAAACTAAAGGCAGTGGATCCCTCAGCAGCTGGATCACAAAGAGCACAGTCACAATAACTGTGCTCTTTTTTGCATTGAATACCTCTGCAGGTTTTGCATTGCAGAGGTATTCAAGTATAAAAACAATAATAAACACAATGTTCTGGTTCTATAACATTTTTATATCATTACTTTATTATGGATTAGGTGCAAGAGTTTAAATGTTGATAATTAAATAATAGTTTAACTGAATAGCAGGTTGTGCCTTGTTCTCAGATGGACAGAAAGTGGACAGTGATAGATGAGATGAGGAGATGAAGGAGGAAGAGAGGCAAAGAGTGATTCACAAGCAGAGTCTAATTTATTTCTCACAGTTTTGTTGCCTTATGGTTCTGAGCGCTGTCATCAATCTTTGCACTTTGCATTATCTCATAACACTTGTTTAATCAGCTACCATCTCTCCTATGGACTTTTTAATGTCTACAGTCTCAGATCAGGAGCAGCAGCAAACCCTCAACAGCAACACTGTACCCATCAGGTAAACATAGGCTACGCCTTGTCCCCACCTGATGACAGTGACATAGTATGATGTGAGTCAATATTGTTGATGAATGTGGGTTGTTGTTATTCATGCTGATTTTTAACTTTGAGCATTCGCCCTTTTAAACATCTCTGCACATCCCTGCAACAGTCAGGAGGAAACTGTCAACTAGCTGAGAACAAAGTTCCTGAGAGAGAAAGTTTCCGGTCTTTTGGTTGATTAAGGTAGACAATACACAGAAAAGAGTTTCATGAAAGAAACAAGAAAATGCTGGTTTGGGGTCAGTCACTGCCCACAAACTAATGTTTTACACCTTCAGAGCAACAACCTGAGCATCATTTCACTATATTGTGGCTGAAGTGAAGCCAGACACCTCTAAAGTCAATTTCTCCTAAAGTGGGCAGCTCACACTTGGAAAAGTCCAAAAGGATAAACAGCACTGCAGGCCAGACAGGAAAATCTACACACTTGTGTTTTAGGTGTCTATTTTGATGAATAGTGACCCTATTGGCCCTATTGTGTCCTGAGTGTACTCACTGCTGGCTCCCAGAGCTATGATCAGAATCAGGAGGAGTGTAGCCGTCAGAGCAGGAAAGAGCCATCGTCTGTACCTGGAGAACCTGGAGAAATCGACAGTACGAGGCTCTGCGGACAAATAGGACATGAGTTTTTCATTTTACAGAACGCACAGACAGGTGGACACACAGACAGGTGGACACACAGACAGGTGGACACACAGACAGACACCTTTGTTCCAGAAATTGCTCATTCCTTCATCCACATTGTCATGGTATTCAGTCGTCATGGCGTTTCTGGTCTCTGGGTCTGTCTCTGTGTGAAATGGCGTGCGTCTGACTTCGTCTTCATCCAGTCCCCAATGAACAAACAGGCGAACTGTCCAAACACAGAGCCTCAGGTCATTGGCCACGAGCTGCACTTTGCACTGGAAAACACCACCTGTGTTTGTGTGTGTGTGTGTGTGTGTGTGTGTTAGCTGATTACTACACTGAGATAATCTACATCAACAACTACAAAGAACTAAACTTTCATGGAAAAAAGGACAAACATCTGAAAATACCTGAATAATTTCAGACGTGTAAAAGAGGCACAGAGGTACCGTTGAGAGTATCATCACCAGCTGCATCACCGTGTGGTATGGCTCCTGCACTGGGTCCTGCAGGAGCCATACAGGACCCAGTGCAGCAGGTAGTGAGAGCAGTGGAGAAGATCGTGGGTACTTCTCTTCCCTCCGTCCAGAACATCTGTAATGGCACAGTGGCCCGTGGAAATGGGATGGACTCAAGTGCAGATGCAAAACCAGAGGCTTGAAGTGCGGTGCACCAAAAGAATTTTTATTCACAACGCTTGTTAGCAACTGAAGACTCAGACTATTATTTAGAAGAAACATAAACTATACGTCTGAGGAAGAGGAGACTAAGACTGTAGTTAAATTAAGACAAATTCACTGTGATGACTGGGTGCAGAGACTGGTCGGGGGAAACTATGGCTAGCCAGGGCACTGAAACAGAGGAGAGGACAATCAGTGGGACCCAAAAGAGAGTTGCGAGTTAATCCAAGAGTAATTTCCTTGAGCTGCCTTACGTGCTTGCAGGTGGAGATTGCTTGGGGGAAGGCAGAGGTCCAGGTGAGTACGGAGTGCAAAGCCAGAAAGTCCTCTGCATTACAAGTGAAATGCATTACAAGTCTGAACCCCCCAGACATACAAAATTCTGAACCACCACCATTGCTATTTCACTGACCGTCCCACGCCTACTTTCGCACAAACTTGCCACAATCGCTATGATTGTGTTGGACACTGCTGTTTATATAATTGTTCAGTATTGTATTGTTTTGTATACTTTTATTTTATTTTCTTTTCATCTTTATATTGTTTGAGTGTATACTGAGGGCCATGGGAGCATTGCAATTTTAAATTCCTGTGTATGATCTGTAGATATGGTCTTTGACAATAAAGCTGACTTTGACTTTTTGAAGAAGCGATGGCTCAACAGAAGCAACAAAAAGACAATGAAAAAGATTTCACGGATAATCATTCAAATATTTTCTGGGTGGCGGTGGCAATAAAGATAAAGAAGCAGTGACAGACACAGATTTGTTCTCATTTTTATTGTATGTCATGACTTCTCACTGCAACACATCTTAGAGATCTTGCACTTTCCTCCCTGACACGTTTCAATCAATTGCACCTGTTACCCATCATACTAGAAAAATATAAACAAATGAGGTGTGATTTACAAAATATCATGATCGCAAGATTCAATGAATGTCATTTGTGTTTTAGAGAAACAATATAAAAGATCAATAGGAGGATTCATTGGATGCCTGTATGGAACAAAGTACACCTGACATCTCGTCATGTTCACAGTGAAAGTGAATGCACAGCTACATGTCTGCTAAAGAACATTTGGGATGTTTCATTATGTACATTATGTGGCTTTTGTCAACATGAGCAAGAGTCTGATCTTCATTTATTTAGATTTTCAGTGTATTAGGATTATTTTGAAGCTAAAAGCAAATAAACTGAATTCTGGCTACAACTCCAATGTTTCCCCTCTGACAATAATGTGGAACTTTATCATAGTCTGGAAATTTGAGGAAATGTTCTAAGACTGGACCTCTTAAATTTTAAAATTGAATTTTGACAGTTGACAGGTAGACAGGTGGTCTGAAGTATGTTTGTACTGGATAAGTGGAGCGTTTCTAAATAGGCTATGCTGTATTTATTAATTGTTTTTCTATCCAGTGCTTTAATTGGAGAGGTTCCTTATAATCTGAAGTGGGCGGAGTCAGGCCTGCAGGTGTGTTCAGACTCTCAGGTTGTCTTTCTGACAGATGAAGCGTTCTTTGATGGAGCAGTGCTGGTCGTTCAGGCGTCCATCATTGTGAAGGTGAGCACAGTCTTCATTCCCAGGTCCTTGACCATGATGGGCCCAGTTGTCGGGCTGCCCAGGTTTCCACCGCCTTGAAAAACATGCACAAAGATGTTTATGTGTAATTCCTGTGGAGCACTGACTGATAATAATTCCTCTTTATGCTGAAAGCTCCCTGCTCCCATGACACTCACAATCTCTGATCTACTGGTTTCCGTTTCTGGACAAACGTTTTAGACTTTGATTTAGGATATGAAACCTCTTGGTTATATGTAGGCATTTAAAACTTTATATTAGGTTTAGGCAATAAAAACAAATTTTGAAAAAACCAAAGTCATTGTGTAACTAGAGCACGTTTGCTTTGGGACAAGAGCATACTGAAACAAACCTGGGCTCCGCTCATCCACCCACTCCCAATCCTCAAACACTTGTGCAATTGTGCACTTAGGTACAGTTATCCCCAAACACACATAAAAGTATGACCAGTAAAATGTAAATATAATTGTTAGTGGTGTACCCCTGAGATTATAATAATGTAGATGTGACATGAAGCGCCTGAGGTTTTCTGGGACTTCAGTTCAGTAACAAAATGAAGAGGCTGTTTTTTCCTGCCTGGAGGTCTGGACTATGAAGGTCCTAATAATAATCGCTATGTACCACAGGCTGGCTGTAGTTAAACCTTTACTTAAAACGCCATCCCTAGATCCAGCTGTCTTAGCTAATTATAGGCCAATCTCCAACCTTCCTCTACTCTTCCTTGAAAGAGTAGTTGTCAAACAGCTAACAGATCATCTGCTCATTTGAGGAGTTGCAGTCAGTCCTGCAGAAAGACTTTCAGATGTCAGCAGCGAGAACAGCTGACGAGGAAGGGTTAGTCCCGAAGATGCCGCTTAATGCTGATGTCTGATGATTTTCCATGATTATGGCTCTCTGCACTTTTCCTTTTGTCCTTTGCGTACTATGTGTGACATACTCTTTGTAGGTGCCTTTAAAAAGACCGTGTGAGGTCCTCATAAACATAAATCAGGACATCCTCTCCACTTCATACTGTTTGATAGTTAGTGGAAAAAAGCACGTCTTTGTTTCCGTAAGCTCATATTGATTTTTTGAGCAGCCTCTGCAAACACTTGGTGATGATGGGAATGAATACTGCCAGTCTGTTCTATTTAGGCAGTGGTGAGTCTATGTAAAATATCTATTAAATCTATTCATACTACAATTAGTATTCTTTAAAAATCATTGTCCCGCAATGAATGTTGTCACAATCAGGGGTACCGGGAGACTACGTCCTCATTCCAGGTGACTGCTGTCAATTCCCCGTCAATCAGCTGTTGATGATGTCAGCCTGTAACCTCTGCT